GTGTACACCTGTAGTTCCAGCTACTTGGGAGACTGAGGTGGGAGGACTGCTTGAGCCTGGGAGGTAGAGTTTCAGTGAGCCCACGATGGTGCCACTGCATTCCAGTCTGGGTGACAGAGTGAGACCCTGTCTCAAAAAAAAAAAAAAAAAAAAAAAAAAAAAACTTAAAAAAGAATATTATTATTATAGTTAGTTCAAGGGACTCAAGTAGGATTTCTGTGAAATCAGGATAAGCTACGCTGGGCCAAGTTCAACCCGGGAATGCAAGTAGACCAACACATACATAGGTTCAGGTCAAGGTCAGATGTTGAAACATATTTTAGACAAGGGCATGGAGGAAAGTCATTCAAAAAGGAGCCTTTAAAAATGACATATCAATATTTTCTCTGTGAAAAAAACAGACTTGGCTTTTTTTGTAAAGCCTGGACCCTCTGAGCAAATACTACCTCAACAAAGCTAAGATTTTCCTCCCCTAAATTAACTGGAAATCATAAACCTTAAATGATAAGCTAAATAATACAATTTTACTAAAGTACAGTCACTTCACTTTATGAGAAAATACAATGTCTGAATGTTCAGTGTGTGAATGCGGTTTATGTAGGCATGCTGCCCCAACCTCTGGATGCCCAGCTGGCTGTCTCTCTGGGAAAGGGTGGGGCCACAATGCAGCCGTCGTGGGGCTTGTCTGTCCTGCTGGAAGCTCAACTATTGTCTCTCCTTGCAACAAGAGATGAGTCCAATCCCCTTTCTGTCTTTATGATGGAAATTATACTAGAGAGTTTTATTTGTGACAATGTCAAAATATTTTAATCCATCCACTCATTCAACAAATGTGTAAATAGCCAAGCATGATTCTACACAAAGAGAAATATGAGATTTATATGAGAGCATTTTTGCTAAAATTTTGTCCTACCAATTTGAAACTATAAGAATATTCTATAGTTATATAGTTATGAAACTCTATTAATTTTTTACTATAAAAGTGATCAGTTGCATGCAGACGTCTCATAGATCATGGTCATAATGCTTCCACATATTTGTGACAGCCAATTTTCTCTTTTTCAATTATAGATTTAATTGTCATAACAGTTATTTATTAGTTCCATTTTATTTTATCTTTTTTGGTTGAGAAAATAACCTCTGAATTAGGAAAATAATTGTATTTAATAAAAACAGGAAGAATATTTGAGTTTTAAGTTAATACTGTTACTTAGCCACTAGGCTACGCTAAAGTATAGCCCATTTCTTTAAGAACACTTCTAACTTCATGCTACACACACATGCACAAACCAGAAAAATTAATTCAAGAGCTGGATATGAATCATTTAACCCTTCAAAACCTAGCTGGTAATTTGTTTAACAGATTTATCTAGGGTTAGTTGTCATAATTAGTTTATGACATATTCCAAAAGAATAAATTCAAGTTTTTGCTAAATATGCATCTTATAGTATTGCTCAGTTTGGTTTTAAAAGAATGGAATCATCATTATGCTTATTTGATTCAAATTAAATGTCTTTTCATGTACATGTAGTTAGTCCTACTTAAATAAACTATAATGTATAGTCACGGACTGATTAGTTATCAGAAACAGGAGCTTTAGATTGGATGCATTTTACCTTCTGTTTTTTTAAAAAAAAGTCATTTTAAAATGCAACATTGAGAACTAAATACTATTTCATTTATATTAGGCATTTTTTTACATTAAAATTATGTCCTATTTCCAATAAGCTGTGTTTAGACTCTTTTAAGTTTCAATGTGTAAATGAGGCTTTCCCTCATTTGTATTATTTTCCCCTTAATATTCTAGGGAGCACAATATTACATTCTCACCATCATTATTCATATTAATATCTGTCTTTAATTATACACTGCAGGAGGCATTGAGAATTCAAGTAGGTCTAAGAAACTTAGAGTACAGTTGAGAACACACACAAAAATGTAAATAACTTTGATACAAATATTTCAGGCGCCATAGATAAGTGATAAATGAATAAAACAGTATACATGTTACAATAGTTCACACAAGAAAGATATATTTGATGTCCACATTATTAAATCAGAGAATAGGTTTTTGCTACTTAAATCCGAAAAGATTTCAAAGTCTAATGTGCTCTGGAGATAAAAATCCATTACCCTCCAATTTATTGTTTAATCCACCTAACAATTCTATCTGAAACAGGAGTTTGCTATGTTTTAAAGATAAATCAATCTTTTTAAAAACTTGACTTGTCTCTTTTAAAATTATTATCCATCTGTTAATAATTGATTATAGGAGAAATTACTGACAAAACACGGTCCAGGACCAAAACAAAATGCTTTAATCTACTACTATATTCCTGTTATATTATTGCTTTGGTGTATGATGAAATACTTGGAAGAAAAAGATTATCTTTCTTTCTCTTCTTGAATGTAATTAAGTGCAGTAAAATCTATTTACCAAATGCCTCAGAAAAAAACAAATATAGCTATGCTGTAGGTGAAATGTTCTCCCATATATATTTACACATCGGCGTACTATTCAAAATATTTAAAACTGTTACCACACGGGCACTGAGAAAACAGAACAGATGCTTAGGTTAAAGCACCTCTAACTGTCCCTGCCCATAGGGATCAATTATTATTATAGCAATGTTAAAAACTTTTAATTCTGGTAGATGACTTCTAATATAGCATTAAAATATTTTAATTGAACCACTATTTTGGAATATGATATTCTTAATTTTGCTACATAACATACTATCTTAGCACAACATAATCACAAGTATGGTATTTTTTAGCTCTAACATTATTTCAATTTGTATTTCACAAACTGCGGAGATACCTGAATATCTGGAAATGCCTGTATCCCTTAGCAATGTTAGATAATGATTTATATGGTTGGGCTATGACGCATTTCTGGTCTGAGTCTTTCAGTGAGTTCCTGAGCCTTATGGATTAAATTGAGACTATAATATACCCTTTTCAGTCTTTTCCTTCACGTACAGTCTTGGGCAGCAGTCAACTGCAGGGCCATTCCAGGGGTACTGATTTAGTGGAAGGGATGTGATAAAAACAAACTCTACCCCAAAATCAAGTCTTGTAAGTGGTCTGGATTGTCTCACTTATTCTGGAGTATGGTGAACAAAGAAACTGCCAGGTTAGAGAAAGGATTTCTTCCCACTGGAACTAAAGGTTAAAGAACCTGCCCTACGCATATTCAGTGTTTGTTTATGGGACAAGCTGAAGGCTCCAGGAGTACTCACCATGGCACGGTACTGGTCATGGGTAAATTAGGGCCACCTTGGGGTTATTATAGGTTCCTGTTTTTCTATTGTATCATTAATCAAAAGAAAAAGGGACTTAGTAAAAAAGAGTAGAGATACAACTGCAGTTCCTGGAACATACTGTGCTCTTTTATGTGCATCTCTACTAATCTCTAAGCACTTTAGAGCCCTAGCACTCTCTGACAGTTAAACTGAACTTGTCATCATCAGCTAAAAGCCCTTCCAGGACTCCTGCCTTTGCATATGCTGTCATGTAGCTGGAATGTCATTTCTCCCAGACTACCTGATAAATTTATCCTTCAAGTTTTATCTCTAAATTCAGGTGTCCTGTGAAACTTTCATTCACTATACCCAGCAAAATCAGACACTATTTCTCTTGGGTTTCCATTTCCGTCTTATAGCACTTAACATTCACTGTCATAATTATTTGCATACAAGTCTGAATCCCTGCCTAGCCAGTTCCTATAGGCCTGTAATGATATCTCATTAAAGTTTGTCCTAGTTGGAACACAGTAAGTGCTCAATACATTCCTGCTGCATAAATTACTGGTAGGCAGGTAGATGGATGCATGACCTAAATATTAAATCCCACCTACTCCATCTGCGTCATAGTAGATTTTACATCACTACATTAAAGATGCATAATGTTGGTATCCAAATCCTGCTTCCCTTTCTAAGAGCCCACACTTTCATATACTTTTTCCCTTTGGTGAGGTCTGTTCTGACACTGCACATGCTGCCTACAAACAAAAAAGCAATACAGTCCTCAGTTCCATCCCAACTGTAATGTATACGTTGGGTTGCCCCCTACCCAGAGCCTAACCATGTTTCCCCAAATGGTCGTCAAAAGAATTCTCCTCATTTTTTGAATCATCAGTCTGCTCCGCCCTGATGTTAGTGATTTGGCCCTAATGCCAGCAGGCTCTGCTTGCTACAAGGATGCACTTTCTTAGACCTCTATGTTTGTGGCTAAACTCAGGTAAGCCACTTTACACCTTAGTAAGAAAAATGGCTCCTTTGCTTTCCTAATGGCTAACACCCCAATACTGGGATTTGGCAACAGTTAGTCCAAAGTGTTATTCTGAGAAACTCCTGGAGTTTTGGAAATTCACTTTATTTTACTCAAGAGTTCAGACTTGTTTCCTCACTAGCTGCAACAGACAAAGAACCCTGGCAGGGATGATGTATGACTCTGATCCCTGGTGATCCCCAGGAGACAGTCTCTGAATTTCTTCTCCATGCAACAGCAGCAGTTTTCTCCAATATTCATTCAGTTCTCACTCACATATTTGGATGAACACTCATATCCCTCGTGTCAAAACATATACAGTCTAAGCTAAACTATGGGTCATAGCTAAACTATGCTTTAGTTTTCACATATTCTACGGAAGTTTAACTATTTCTAGGTACTTCAATGCTAAGCTTGTTTCACCTATTACTGCAATTTGAAGAATGTTTCTTAGAAGGTATCAGTGTCCTCCATCAATATGACTGATAAGTAATATTAATACAATCAAGTACCAATATTATGGTAGCACACATACAGTTAACTAAAGACCCATGTCTTGAGCTATAAAGCCATCTAAAAACACTGAATAAGATAACTTACGTATGTCACTTTTTGAGAAAACTCCACACAAAAGCCTGCCATACTGGTTCTCTCACTAAACTGACAGAAATAATACACTGAAATGAAATCCAATAATTCGGGAAAAAATCCTCAAATATACACTTACCCACTATGCTTCATATGTGCTGGTTTATCCATTCGCACTGCCAATTTGATCTTTAAGTCAGAGTCCTGGCTATTTTTTGGAACTACCATTTGGTGTAATTCAGCTGATTTGGAGCTATTAGAAGTTGGGTATAATATCACCTGGATGGAAAAATGAAAATATATTTTAGTGCATGATACAGAGTGCCTATGGTTTGGAACTACAAACTTTTCTATGTTTCCTTGTTTGAAAAAATGGTGTCAACACCCAAATGAATCTAATAAACCATTTGACTTCCTACTACCATAGCTGATGGATTTTCAATACAGACTCAATTTATTTTTTGACAAATATGTGTTTTCACATTATCACATAATGAGTTTTCTTCCTCTGTCACTTCATAATGAATTAATAGCACAACAAGCTACAGTTGAACTGACATTGAAAAATACTCAAGAGACACCCGCAATTTCAAGAAAATTCTAAACTCCTCTAGGCAAAGCAGTTCAGAAATATATTCTTTGAAATTATGGATAACATGCTTAAAAAGCAAAACCAATTATTTGAAGCAGCACAAATATGCCTCATGTTTGAATATTTTCATTGTAAAATAGTAGTAAAGGAAATCGACTCCATTAGAGATGGAAAACAACACATTTTCTGCTCCAGATCAATACCAAAGGATTTTTCCTGACATGTTTTCAAAACTATAGATACTATAATAACTGAAACAAAGTAATTATTTTTAATAAAACTGTCAAATTACCAAATGATTATTTTACAACCCTCACTTCACAGAGCCAACCCAGGAAAGAGAAGCCTACTCTTCAGATGTTAGGTGCCATGCAGATAAAGCAAGGTACTTTCCTCCCTTTAAAATCAGTTATAACATATTTTAGACACAGTTTACATCCCAGCCTTAATGAGTATTTTTAAATGGGAGCATTAGAGGCTAAAAGATAAAACAAATAAATGAAGTACACTGTGTTATATTTTAAGCCATAAAGTTGAAGTTTAGATATGAATGGAAGATTTATAAACATTTCCAGGTATGCTAAATTTTTTTTACAAACAAAATTGATATTTTCATTAAAACTATATTGCAACATATCTTCCTGTGCATAAATCCTGACGCAACACAAAGTAATTGTGAATTTGAAATTTCTTTGTAATATTGTTACAATTGACATTAATATAACAAAACAAAAGTCCAATCTCAAGTTGCTATAGTGCTTAACAATTTAATTAGGCAGCCTTCTATTCTTGGATTTTAATAGTAAAATGTTTTGAAAGCATTCATGGCAACTGACTCTGTCATGCCCTTCCCCTACCTCCAAATCTTCATTTATAGTATAAGTAGAAATCTTCACCAAGAAATCTTTAAGCAAGACTCTCCTTCTCTCTAGGAAAGACAACACAGTCATAAAATCTTCTCAAACTATTCTCAACTTGCAAGTTGTTAAATGTATCTACTATTTTGAGACTTTTCTCAAGCCTTTCCTAAAAGCCATAGCTGTGCTGAATCCAGCAACTCTATATACTCAAGTATATAAAGGACATCTTAAGTACAAACTAAATGACATTTGCAATGTTTTCACCATTATGATCATATTCTAGAATTAATTCAACTGCTAAAATAGCCAATGTAATATTTTATAGATTCTTTCTTAAATGACAGTAAAGAAAAATAAGCTGACAGTTTTTGACTCAAACCAGTAGACAAAGGAATATCATTACCAACTTAGAAGGCTATTCCAAAAAAGAATAAAAAACGAAGATAGAGCTCTGTATCTTCTGTAGCTATAGCTCCTATGTTTCTAACAAGTCTGGAAAGCTTTTTCTCTTTCTCCATACACATCCCTGACCGCAACTTTAAAATACATTATTTTGACATGAGCCACTTACAGACTTTATTGGTTTTTAATTATTCCTTCTATGTTTACATAAAAATTGGAATTGTTCCAAACTCTAAACTCTTATACAGGAAGAGAATATTTAAATTAAACTTTTGACAATTTCTCATTTTGTAAATACTGATAATGGCTTACTAAATGAGGTCTCAAGATAACTGCTTTTGGCTGATCCACAAATTAAAGGTTATCACACTATCACATACCATTCTTTTTTTTTAATGAGTATTTCTAACTGAAGTTAGTGGAAGGATTTATTGCTCAGCTCTGTTCAATTAAATAAACATTGAGTTCTTACTATGTGGGGATACACAAAGATTAAATAATATGAATGACTCACATCTCTCAAGGAGCTCAGTTCCTCTTCATTAGAACTTAATGTCTTTTATTAGCAGCATTCTTAGCTCTGATAATATCATTTCTTCCTATTGCTCTTCTTTCCCTAGAGTATGCAATGGTTTCCTGATTTTGTTAATTTCTGTGCATATTCATGGTCTTCTGCTTGGCTTCTCCCTGTCATATGTACAGCAAATTCCCTGTATGTTCCCTCCAATGGAAAGACATGGAAACGTCTGTTTTTCTGGACGGACTGACTGATAAAAGTGTGAAAATTGGCAGATGTAACAAGTGGAGGTCCACAGATATGAAATCTTTTCTAAGAGAAGTGCATTGGTAAATAAGTGCTGCACTTAAACTTCAAAATGGTCTGTAAAATAGTTTTCAGGCTCCCAAATTGCACAGGCAAATAGTCATAGTCCTTTATGGAATTTAACCATAAATAAAGAGACAAGGAAGAAGCTTCCAAAGTATAGAACCCAGAGGGCCATAGAGAATAAAGGACATGGGAGTTCAGAATACACAATACACGTCTAATCAAGGGATCTTGAACATTTCCTGAGCAGGGTGTTTTCCCAGTGCCTGCCAGATAGGATTTCATTATTGCAACTAGACAATCACTGCTGTGCAATTCCCATTTTTCCTTTTTCCATGTGGCAAACTTACCTGTAGCTTTCCTGTCCCTGTTCTGTTAACTTATACTGGATTTGTGCTGAGACAGAATGAGGAGGGGGGGTATAGTAGGCAGTTATCATAAACTGAAGTTCACAAGTTGCCAGGCTGCAAAGTGCCACAGCTAAATGTGATGCAGGTATTGGACTGGATATAAAGATGGAATAGGACTTTGGGTTGTTTCTCTTGGGTTGAGATGAATGTGTTTTAGGTGTAGGAAGAAGGGCAACAAAATGACTTGGTGGCCACAAGGGTGAACTATGGCACATCATCTGGCTATCTACCATGATTCATGTTTTCACCAGTATAGAACTATTGCTACTAAACAGTTAGCCAAGAACCAGGTTTTCTAACTCCTCCTGCTTCTAAGTAGAGACATATAAAAGTTCTTGCTAAAGGGGTGAGTGAGAAGTGACACCTGTCGCCTTGAGAAAAGATGATCAAGATACAGGTATGATGTCTTTACCTCACTTTATTCCTCTGCCAGCTAAGTTCAGAGAAAACCAATACCCTAGGAAATGAAAGAAATCAGAGCCCTGAATCACCATGTGGAAGAAAGTCATACTTCTCTCAGGAATACCTGTGGTGCACTGTTACAAACCTGATATTATTTTGAATGATTGAAATGTAACAACTTTCCTGTTACAGTATTTAGCAGTATCCTAATACATTAACATGGTGTTTTGTTCCAAAATCTTTCAAAAGTAAGTGGATAAAGAATTCTTTTTATATTAGAAGTACTTTCACTTCAGTAGGACTCAGTTCATGTATAGAGAGGTGTTTCTGATGTTGACAGCCATAATAATTAAAATATTTTACAGGCATAAAAGTTTACTAAGGATCCTTCTGTAACCTAAGTTCACATTTAAAGTGTAGCTCTGTACAAATAGTTAAATTTAATACTGTTTAGAAAACTATTTTATTCTTTACCATTCATGTCTCTTTAACCTTTCAATATATATTTCTTCTTCTAGTTTATTTTTGTCACCAACACTTTAAATGTTTTGTCTGCATGACACAAAAAAAATATGATTTTTCATCTTAAACGTAAAGCCAATGTATCTTCTTCATAATAAAATGTCAGTGTTACTTGTCAACTTTGCTAAGGTGTAATGGAAAACACAAAATGATCTTTTAGGATTTGTTTAAAATTCCATCAAATTTAATATACAGAAAGAAAACTAAGGCTTAAAAGAATGAAATATAAAGTACACATTTACATACAGATATGTTTAGAATGATGTGGGGTTCAGAAGTAGCTTTCTCTTAAAATATATTTATATAAGCTGTCACTTCTACATTCTTTTCTACTGATAAACTTGAGGCCAAACTATGTGCACTTACGTGTAATTCAACTTTGTAACCTGTGAATTCAAGACTATTTAAATTGCTAAACTCTATTGCAACAAGCATCTGAAAAACTAAAACCAAAAAGAAAACAGCACTGGGGGATAGGGGAGACAAGCTAGAAAAACAAAGGGGCTAGACAGACAATTCACTATCTTCTCCCATAAATGTCTCTCAGCTTAGAGCAAGGAAAGAAGACTCTAGTGGGACCACAATAATTGCACCATATCTTATGGCAAAATAACAGACACACAGTTGATACAATTCTATCTCAAAAATGAGTACATGCAGCAAGTCCTGGAAAAAATCAGGACAGCTTTCATAGAGGGATTAGGGTTTCATTTGGAAGTCTAAAAGAATATATAAGATTTATAAGGCTGACAAGGGGATGAAAAATAAAGATATGGAGGCTGTTGAAACCAAACAGTTTAAGAGTGGCACCCTAGAAAAAGGCACATAATTCTGATGCTGACACTCCTAACATTACTCTAGGTTCTCAAGCTCTTCCCCAATCTTGGTTGTTCAGCTCTTTCTTTGTTCCCTGGACTCAGCCTCAGTCAGCTTCCATTGCTCGCCACCAAAAGAACTTCAATCAGTACAAACACTCATTACATTTTCTGCCATGTCAATTTACTTTACGTTCTCAAAAGATAAGAAGAGAAGAGAACCCTCTGGGCACTACTTTTCAAGAGTTAGAAAAAGGAACAAGACTCTATAACTGAGACCAGTGGCCAAGGAGGTAGAAGAAAACTGAAGGTTGTGATGTGCCAAATTTAAGGAGGACAGTGTTTTAGGAATTAGGAAGGGGGCATCAGTGTCACAAGGAGATTAAGAGGTCACACACTGTTGGGTCTGAAAGGCTACTGCTTGGTTAAAAAACAGAGAGATGACTGGAG